ATTTCTGACAATTTCCAGTTTTCCTAGATTCATACTTTGTACAATCCTTGTTCTGATTATTAATGGGTGTTTACAGCTGTTTCTTTTCATTTTGAGGTGTGCTCTATTAGCAATGGAAGTCCTGACGGCTTTACTCCATTCACGTCATCAGAGTCACCTCTAGTTTGAGTTGTATTTTGAGGGCCTTCGAACCTAAGGGCCTCATCTTCCAGCACTGTATCTGACAATATTCTGGTGCTCTTCATTATGTTTCAGTACTCAATATTCTGATGCTGACAGTGTTCCATTTCTATTCATAAGGTTTTCAGTGACTAAATATTCGGAAGTAGTCTGTCTCCTTCCTGGTCTGCCTTCTTCTGGAAGCTCAGCTGAAACCTGTCTACTACCATGGTTTTTAAAACCTAGCTTCCAGAATCACAGCAACATGCAAGCCACCACAGTACAACAAACTGATAGATGCATGGTAGACATGGATGTTGTTAGTACCATCAAATCAGTTCTCGCTCATAGTGAACCTGTATAGGATTTCCAAGGGTTTGAACTGCAAATCTTGTGGTTAACAGTCCAGTGCTTATCCCACAGCACTACACCAGGACTCCTGCACATGGATAGTGGCTATATATGGGCATTTGGCATTTTTTTATATTTAATAGCTTATGTATGTAAAGCAAGAGAAAGAGCTAACTATCTGTTCCCATAAAGATTGTGGCCTAGAAAATCTTTCTCGGCAGTTATACTCTGTCACATGGGTTAATATGAGTCAATCATCAATTTAACTGTATCGACCCACAACATATTTCCTATGTGCCCCACATGCCTTCTTTCATTTTCTTCCCTTCACTCTTTAAAAAAATTTACATCATACTTTCCTCAAACTATCTATAACCTCCCAAATTTCTTCCTTAGAAATAATTCTCTGGTCCAGGGTTTTCTTTCTTAGTTACATATCTGAGTGGGCTTCAAAAGTTCATGGAAAAATGGAATTAAAACATAAAAGAAAATATCCACAAATGTTTTGAAGTTCCCTCTCTTTTCAATATACTTCTACACCAAAATCCCTTACCTATTTTTGTCATTCTTTATTTTTATCATTCTTTCTTCTGTAGCAGGCCATTGATTCCCCATTTCAATTGTATCTTTCCTTTTACAACCCTGGTATCAGGGTACCTTCAGGAGAATTTGAAATTGGAAAAATCACTGGGTCTTTTAATAGTTAAGCATAGAATGTAATAGTATGTATAAGATTCTTCACTTTTTAATCATTAAGTATGTATAACCATTTTTCATAATGGGATATTAGAGTAAGCAAATAGACAAATTTTATTACTTTTCATCATCCTACTTCCCTTCACACATTTTTTGAGGATTTTGGCTTTCTTGTCAAACTTTGAAAGAGCTCTGGTGCACAGTAGTTAAGTGCTTAGCTGCTAACCAGTTTGAACCTACTAGCTGCTCTGCAGTCTTGTTATTGTTAGGTGCCATCAAGTCAGTACCAACTCATAGTGACCTTATGCACAACAGAATGAAGGACTGCCCGATCCTGGGACTGCCTGATCCTGGGCCAACCTCACTATCATTGCCATGCTTGAGCCCATTGATGCTGCCACTTTGCCAATCCATCTCGCTGGGGGTCTTCCTCTTTTTCTCTGATCCTCCACCTTACCAAACATGATGATATCCTTCTCCAGCGACTGCTCCTTCCTGACAATATGTCCGAAGTATGAGAGGCGAAGTTTGGCCATGTTGGCCTCCAAGGAGCACTCTGGCTGCACTTTTTCCAAATCAGATCTATTTGGTCCTTTTGGCAGCCCATGGCACTTTTCTATATTCTCCTCCAACACCATAACTCAAAAGCATCGATTCTTCTATGGTCTTTTATTCACTGTCCAGCTTTCACAGGCACATGAAGTTATTGAAAACACCCTGGCTTGGCTCGCTTGCACCTTACCCTGGAAATCCTATAAGGTAGTTCACCTTTGTCCTGTAGAGTTGCTGTGAGTCGGAATTGAGTCGACAACTCCAGGTTTTGAATGGTTTTTAACTTCTCCTTATTAATAAAAGAAGTGAAAATTATTTAATGAGAGTACTTATCTTTGTACTGTGCTGCTTACTCATAATAACTTAGAAGAGTTTCAGAATAGTTGGAGCCATAGTAATATTTATATTTTGTTGTTGTTCTTGTTAAGTGCTGTTGAGTGAGTTCCGACTCATAGCAACCCCGTATAGCGCTTCTGAGAATTGTCTGGTCAGTTTGAACTGCCAGCCTTGCAGGTCACAGTCCAGTTCTTAACCTACAGCACCACACCAGGACTTGAAAAAAGTAAATTATGTGATGCTAGTTATGTATGGAGTCCTGTGGGTTAATAGTATGGCATTGTAGGTTAATGTGCTGGACTTCAAGGTCGGTGGTTCAAGCTCACCAGCTGCTCCTCAGAAAACCCTATACAGGGTCGCTATGGGTCAGAACCTACTCAATAGCACTTAACAACAACTGTTACATATGTAAGGAGTTCTGGTAGCATAGTGGCTTACAAGGTGGACTGCTAACTGCAAGATTGGCAGTTCAGATCTACCAGCCACTCCATGGGAGACAAATGAGGCTTTTTCCTCCTGTAAAGATTTGTTGTTGTTAAAGTGTCTTCTAGTTGCCTTGGAAACTCTATAAAGGGTCCCTATGATTCATAACAGACTCCACAGCAAATAACTACCACCAGATATATACGTGTTGTCCTGGTGTGGCATTGTAGGATAAGTCCTGGACTGCTAACTGCAAGATTAGTGGTTCAAACCCACCAGCTACTCCTCAGTAACTATATACAGAGTCATTATGAGTTGGAACTGACTCAATGGCTCTTAACAACAAAAAGTTATATCTGTGGAATGCAATAGCTCTATACAATAAGCGCTCGTCTGCAAACCAGCTGCTTTTCAGGAGAAAAATTAGGCTTTCTTCTCTCACAGAGATTTACAGCATCAAACCCTACACAGGGTGGCTGTGAGTAGGAACCAACATGAGTACACTGAACAACGGCTATATGTGCAGGAGGAATTTGATGACGTTAGGATTACTGTGTGTCTGAGTGATTGGAGATATTTTCATTAAGGATTAATAGGAACATCCTTCTAGAGATAGGAGTAGGCAATATCTGAGAAAATAAAGGCACAGGGATAGCAGGGAGCATGGGGTGTACTCTGCTGGACTTTAGGGCTAAGGTCAAGGCAAGGCTGGAACAAATGCCCACTGATGAACCAGGAATTTTATCTCCACCTGTTTTAGATCCTTTCCTAGGGATGGCATTAACAAAATATCACAAAGTAGTTGGTTTTAAAAAAAACACAAACTTCTCATTTCACAGTTCTGGAGACTAGAAGTCAAACTGATTGTGTTAGCAGGGATATGCTCTTTCTGTCCACTTTGGGCAAAGATTCTTGTCTTTTCCAACTTCTGGTTTCTCCAGGTTTCTCTTGACTTACAGATGTATCTTTCCATACTGTATCCCCCTGTGTGACTCTGTGTGGGTTCTCCCCTTTTGTAAGACATCTCAGAGGGGATTAGGACACACCCTACTCAGGTGTGACTTCATTAATTTAACTGATACAGCTTCAAAGAAAGAACCTATTTTCAAACAAGGTCACATTCATAGATGTAGTCCTACCTTAGGACTTACATCTTTTTAGGGAACACAGTTCAATCCATAACAGATACAAAAAATAGGATCTAGTTCATATCCAAATAGAACCCTACCTGTCTGTCTCCTCACTTTGTCTCTCAATTTCTCTCTAATTCCACCACCATCACTCCGCTAAGGGAACATGTATAGGTTGTTGGCTTCAGACAAATGATAAATCAGAAAGAAGATTTATAATATTGGAGTGGATTACACAGTTGAAAAAGTATGGTCCTTTAGAAATTAAGGAAAATAAGTTATATATTGGATTGATGATTACTTTATTGATACTTATTGTTTGGTTATATATTGTTAGAAGGAAATCATATTTAGAATAGAGGGGGGAAAGCTTTTTATCACGAATTTAAAATAACACAATAAATGAGAGACCTTAAGTGAATCACTTAGGTATTCTAAACCTACATTCTAACATTTATATAATTATAATTAGAACTAGGTGATTTGTTATTTTACAGGTATGAAATTCTGTGATTTTATTATATATTCATTTAATCTTGTCTTTTTTTTTCTCTTCTAGTTTGAATCTTAGCATCAAACCATTAGCCATGCGATTGCCAATCCACTGTGTTTGTGTAACCAAAGAATACAGCCATATTCTTGTAGGATTAGAAGATGGAAAATTGATTGTAGTGGGTGTTGGCAAGCCTGCTGAGGTAAAAGCATCAAGAATTTTTTTATTTCTCACACTGTTGTAGATTCCTTTGGTTTCTCTTTGGTTCATTTGAAACACCATTATGGATGAACAAAAAAGTTTTTAAATTGATTTTCAAAGGGTAGTAAATGAAAAGAGGGGATACATCTATCATTCAAAAGTGATATTTATATTTGATACAATTGAGAACACACACTTGGTAATTTCCACCTACTATTCTATCTGTGGACTCCTGGTGCGGCGCTGTGGGTTAATGTGCCAGACAGCAAAGCCATTTGAACTGCAAGATCGGTCATTCAAGCTCACCAGTCGCGCCTTGGAAACCCCATACAGGGTTTGGGCTGGAACCGACTCGACAGCACTTAACAATAACAACAATTCTATCTATGTTGTTGTTGTCAAGTGCCGTCAAGTCGGTTCTGACTCATAGCGTCCCTGTATAGG